CTCTAAATTCTGCAGCAAACAGCCTTCAGTGAATAGAGAAACTGTAGTTGTAACATAATACAGCCGACAGCGGAAAAGGATTTGGGGAAAAAAAGGAAAAAAATCCGCGTTAAACAGAACAATAGTAGTCAGTGATTGGAATTTAAAAAATAATGGGGGGGGGGGGGGATAAATAAACAGATAGACGAAATGAAATCCTTGGGGGCGAATAAAACTGCATGTTTTGTTGGTCTATGAATGAAGGTAAATTGAAAACAGCAGGACTAGCCTGCTATTTGTCTATTAACGGAACATTTTTTTTTTTTTTTTTGAGTAACAGAATAAACTTCGTCGCATTTCGGCGCGATTAAAAATATTCAATGAACATTAACGCTTATACTGGGCTAACTTAGCAAGTTAGTCTCTTCTTCTTTTGCACTAAATTTTTCAGGCCAAAAAAAAAAGAGGGCTACCGTAATCTAGTTTAGGAGTATAATATTAATGTGCTGAATGGCCCAAAAAAAATATATTTGAAATAATATGAAATAATTTTTTTTTTAAGAGACGTTATAGTCATGGTTGAAGAAGGCCATATAAGTCAGTTACAATCTTTTTAATTTTAGTGGGGCGGGGGGGGGGGGGGGTGCCTGGGTACTTAGCCCCTAAAAAATGTTGGGGCGGGGGCTAAAGGGGCTTGAGGTTCCGGCGCCCATGATGTTCTGTTCTAGATTTGGAAGAAAACCATTGTGACCACATTCAACCGGGTGCGAAGAGCTTTGGTAATGATTGAGATCTTGGTGTCATTTAGCCAATAATGATTGAGATCTTGGTGTCATTTAGCCAATAATGATCGAGATCTTGGTTTCATTTAGCCAATAATGATTGAGATCTTGGTTTCATTTAGCCAATAATGATTGAGATCTTGGTTTCATTTAGCCAATAATGATTGAGATCTTGGTTTCATTTAGCCAATAATGATCGAGATCTTGGTTTCATTTAGCCAATAATGATCGAGGTCTTGGTTTCATTTAGCCAATAATGATCGAGGTATTGTTCTCATTTTACCAATAATGGTCAAGGTTTTGTGTCATTTTACCAAAAATGATCGAGGTCTTGGTGTCATTTTACCAAAAATGATCGAGGTCTTGGTGTCATTTTACCAAAAATGATCGAGGTCTTGGTGTCATTTTACCAAAAATCTTCTTCTTCTTCTTCGCGTTCACCAGCTGTACACTCTGGCGGAAAGTTCTGGTTGATCGTCCACTACTGAACTGCAGTCCCGCTCCAGAACCTGAGTGTTGCGTGTGCATCAGTTTTACAGATCTCATTCTCTTGAATACAGACTGTTGGTTCCTTGCCTCTCCGGCAGATGCACTCCGACTTCAAAGGAAGCTCCCCAATTAGTCGACTCTTACGACATGCTTTTGGGGAGGCAGTGGGTATATTCTTGTTTTCCCCACAATGGGGCCCCGGAACCCACACAGGGGTTACCAAAAATGATCGAGGTCTTGGTGTCATTTTACCAAAAATGATCGAGGTCTTGGTGTCATTTTGCCAATAATGATCGAGGTCTTGGTGTCATTTTGCCAATAATGATCGAGGTCTTGGTGTCATTTTGCCAATAATGATCGATGTCTTGATGTCCTTTTAGCAATAAGGATCGAGGTCTTGGTGTCATTTTGCCAATAATGATAGATCTTGGTGTCATTTTGCCAAAAAATGATCGAGGTCTTGGTGTCATTTTGCCGAGCGTATTAGCTTAAAAAATGTTTTTGTTTGTTTTTGTTTTTATGCCAGGTTGAATAGCCTGGATTGCGTATGTATGTGTGTGTGAGTGTGTATGTGTGTGTGTATGTGTGCGTGTGTGCGTATGCCCGCCAAATTGAATGTCTTGGGCTCCCTATTTGTGAGTTATATTGTCCATTCCCGGAAGTTGATTCTCAGCCGACCATTTTCGATAAACATTTCTTGGTTCACGAGCTGACATTTACTACAATTGACGATCCTGTGACAGTTCAACTGAAGAAAAAAATGACTGACTGACTGACTTTCTACCCTACCAGGACATCACACAAGCGATAAACACCCGATGACACAATGTGCCACCATGTGGGTGAGGATCACCGTGGAAAGGTCCCAGAAACCGCGTTCAGCCTTTAGGCCATATTTATGGCCAGGCTATATTGCGGCCCCTGGCAAAAGCCGGAGTAGGGCTTCAAATAACGAAAAATTTCATTCTAAAAAGGACAGGGGAAAAAAATAACAAAACTGCGCTTTTACCTTCTTTCTGTGCAACGGCCAATCAGCTGGGTCGCAATGTCTCGCAGATTACTTCCCTTCTATCTCTGACGTCTGCAGTTGTTTCTCAGACCCTGGCAAGCGGCGTTATATCTCATATATCTTCCCGCTGTTCTCCTTTTCTTACACCCTGTCTGACAATCGCAGTCAATTTCCTGTATAAAGTATAAAGCAACCTAATTGAATTCCAAGTCCCTATATGTTGTTAGAAATCAACTATGGCTTCTATAAAGCCGTTATCGTCTGAACATTCAGAGATAGTCTTATTTTAAATGGCTCCGCGTGATTCGTGCTATTCCCGTTTGTAATTTTTTTCCCCTCCTTAATATAAAAATGTCTTATTCAGATTCACCGTTGCCACTATTCATACGCTACATTGTCCTGGCTCTTAGCGCATCATGGCCCGCAACTTGAGACTCCAATGGGCGGATTCCGCATAATGTTACTTAGATTGTAGGACATTTTTTTTCCTAGTTTCTGCCTCACACATATTTACACACGCACGCAAATGCACATGCATACACACATACAGGCAGTATTCTGCGGGCCCGCCAAGCCACCCGTGAACAAAGCGGGAAACTGTGGATGAAAGGACACGAAAACCCGCACATTGTTATACCGATCCCAGGGAGGACAAATGCTAACAATATATAACTTTATTGCCTGCTGTCAACACATCGGCTCTTGTTAGAGAAGCTGTGCAAATGGCATTCTTTCTTCGCGGTTATATATTTTTTTTTTTTTTTGTAATACTGATCGTTTCATTAGCTATCTTTTACCTACCCTCCAAACATTTGTTCTCTCTCTCTCTCTCTCTCTTCTTTTTCTTTTTCCTCCTCCGCTCTCACCCTTTCTCTCTCTCTCTCTCTCTCTTTCTCTCTCTCTCTCTCTCTCTCTCTCTCTCTCTCTCTCTCTCTTACTCGCTCTCTCTCTCTGTCTGTCTCTCTCTCTCTCTCTCTCTCTCTCTCTCTCTCTCTCTCTCTCTCTCTCTCTCTCTCTCTCTCTTATTCAATCTAAACCCCCTCCCCCCAACCGCCGCTATTCCTTCTTTACTAAATATAAAATGGGGACGGAGAGTTAAGGGAATGCCCTGAGTGTTGGGAAACGCAGTTTTATTATTCCGACCTATCATCTCTCAAACCTGGATGCCGGTTAATTAGTCAGTCAGTCAGTTACTTAGTTAGTCAGTCAGTCAGTCAGTCAGTTAGTCAGTCAGTCAGTCAGTCAGTCAGTCAGTCAGTCAGTCAGTCAGTCAGTCAGTCAGTCAGTTAGTTAGTTAGTTAGTCAATCGGTCAGTCAATCAGTCAGTCAGTCAGTTAGTCAGTGGGTGAGTAAGTGAGTGAGTTAATCGGCAGGTTACCTTCACTGCACATCAACGTCCTTAATGTCGTTTCTTGAATCAACTTATTTTATATATATATATATATATATATATATATATATATATATATATATATATATATATATATATATATATATTAGGGCTGTACCGAATATTCGCTTCGTATTCGCTTCGGGCCGAATAGTGGACAGAATGACTATTCGGTATTCGGCCGAATAGTTGCGGTCGGGCCGAATACGAATAGTGGTTACCTTACACTCATTTCTGCATACACTGCGATGGACTGAAATAACTCTCTCATTAACACAATAGTTGCTGTTGCCTAGGTTTGTAGTAGCGGGAAAACTGCGACCCGGTTGCATGGTACAGCAGCTGGCAAGGTCTTGCCTGTTGACTCGACCGAGGCATTACAGCAAAGGTTCTCAAACTGGGTGCGTATGCCAGGGGTGCCAGTGAGAAAATCAAGAAAAGTCGGCTATAAATGGTAACATTATTAAAGAAGACATAAAGATACTTGAGATACTTTGATCACCATTGTCGAAAAGAGCACAGGCGACAGGCAATAACTGCATTTTATAAAATGAAGAACATCTTATGCAATATATCTTTGCCATTGAAGGCTAGAAAAATATTTTTTGCTTGCTACTATTTTTCTCCTATTTTTCCAGTTTTAACATATAGTTGTGAGTCCTGGACAATCGGTAGGCAGGCCCCGCCTCTTTCAAAACCTCTTGGTTGCTTTTTTTTTTTTGGCTGTCCAAGGTATTCTAAGCATTCCTCTATAAAACCACATCTCTGAGGCCTCTATAAATTGTTTGGCCTGCCTACCGATTGTCCAGGATTCACAGCATTGTTTGCTTTCGTAGTATCTGAGTTCAGGAGCACATAGAAAGACCCTTTTCAGGAGTATTGGGAATATACTGCTAGACCTAAATGTTATAGACCGATCAGAACCTTTGTGGATGATGTGGTCAGCATCACGCCGGTTGCCTTAACCTCCCAGGACTTTATCTGGTACCCATTCAAGGCTAGGTCGACCTGGGAGCTCCGTTAGGACCAGAACCCAAGACCTTCGAATCCGCAGGTAAACGTCTAACGGCTGAACCACGACGGTTCCCAAGTTCAGGAGGATGCTACAATAAAGACAACAATGAAGCGGACAAATCGAGAAGTTTTAGGGCTAGGGTAAGGACAGAAATACTTGATGATAATGACTTACAATGTTGATGACTGGGATATTGTTGGCGACAAGGTTGTGAGGATGTCGATGATAATGCTGATAATGATGATGATGATGATGATGATGATGATGAAAATAATGATCAGGATGATTCTGACAATAGCGATAATGATGATGATGATAATGATGATGATGATAATGATGACATTAGACGCTCTCAAACAACTAAACATTCCATTTATATTTCAGCAACGGAATGTCAAGTTGGATTTTATCAACGGTGGGAATGGTATCAAAAACCCACTGCTGAGTACGGAGTTTGCCGACAATAAACTTGGTGTGTAGTTTGTGTCACATCATTTCATGACTTGTTATTGTTGTTGTTGTTTTGTTTTTCTTCATTTCCTTCTCCTTCTTCTTTTTCTTCTTTTCTTTTCTACTTCTTCTTCTTTTCTTCTTCATCTTCTTCTTTTTCTTCTTCTTTTTCTTCTTCTTTTCTTCTCTTCTTCTTCTTCTTTTTCTTCTTCTTTTTCTTCTTGTTTCTTCTACTACTTCTTCTTTTCTTCTTCGTAGTATTATTATTATTATTATTATTATTATTATTATTATTATTATTATTATTATTATTATTATTATTATTATTATTATGCACCATTCCCTAGAGGTTCATTGATGCAGATATCACCCGCCTCCATTCATTTGCCAGCTGGTGACACCGCCTATCTTAGATTTTTGTTTAGTGACCAATTTAAGTTTTACAAGGCAGGAGTGTGTCAGCTCCACGCTTAAACCACCCAACATGGAGGACCAGGGTATCTCTCTTTATTCTCTACTCTTTTACCTTTCCGGCTTGGGAATCCCTGTTGGTAGCTAGGCTACCGACGGCACAGCTTTCAGTGTCCTGATGACTTTTTAGACAGGACATTTTCATCTTATGACGATGCAGGACGATGTAGGACGGTGCAGGACGGTGCAGGACGGTGCAGGACGATGCAGGACGGTGTATGACGGTGCAGGACGGTGAAGAACGGTGCAGGACGATGCAGGACGGTGTAGGACGGTGCAGGACAATGCAGGACGGTGCAGGACGGTGCAGGACGGTGCAGGACGATGCAGGACAATGCAGGACGGTGCAGGACGGTGCAGGACGGTGAAGGACGGTGCAGGACGGTGCAGGACGGTGAAGGACGGTGCAGGACGGTGAAGGACGGTGCAGAACGGTGCAGGACGGTGAAGGACGGTGCAGGACGGTGAAGGACGGTGCAGGACGGTGTAGGACGATGAAGGACGGTAAAGGACGGTGCAGGACGGTGAAGGACGGTGCAGGACGGTGCAGGACGGTGAAGGACGGTGCAGGACGGTGAAGGACGGTGAAGGACGGTAAAGGACGGTGCAGGACGGTGAAGGACAGTGCAGGACGGTGCAGGACGGTGAAGGACGGTGCAGGACGGTGCAGAAAGGTGCAGGACGGTGCAGGACGGTGAAGGACGGTGAAGGACGGTGCAGCACGGTGCAGGACGGTGAAGGCCGGTGAAGGACGGTGCAGGACGGTGCAGGACAGTGAAGGACGGTGAAGGACGGTGCAGGACGGTGCAGGACGGTGAAGGACGGTGCAGGACGGTGAAGGACGGTGAAGGACGGTGCAGGACGGTGAAGGACGGTGCAGGACGGTGCAGGACGGTGCAGGACGGTGCAGGATGGTGCAGGACGGTGCAGGACGTTGAAGGACGGTGCAGGACGGTGCAGGACGGTAAAGGACGGTGCAGGACGGTGAAGGACGGTGCAGGACGGTGCAGGACGGTGAAGGACGGTGCAGGACGGTGCATGACGGTGCAGGACGGTGCAGGACTGTGAAGGACGATGAAGGACGGTGCAGGACGGTGCAGGACGGTGAAGGACGGTGCAGGACGGTGAAGGACGGTGAAGGACGGTGCAGGACGGTGCAGGACAGTGCAGGACGGTGCATGACGGTGCAGGACGGTGCAGGACTGTGAAGGACGGTGAAGGACGGTGCAGAACGGTGCAGGACGGTGCAGGACGGCGCAGGACGGTAAAGGACGGTGCAGGACGGTGACGGACGGTGAAGGACGGTAAAGGACGGTGCAGGACGGTGAAGGACGGTGCAGGACGGTGCAGAAAGGTGCAGGACGGTGCAGGACGGTGAAGGACGGTGCAGGACGGTGCAGGACGGTGAAGGACGGTGCAGGACGGTGAAGGATGGTGCAGGACGGTGCATGACAGTGCAGGAAGGTGAAGGACGGTGCAGCACGGTGCAGGACGGTAAAGGACGGTGCAGGACGGTGCAGGACGGTAAAGGACGGTGCAGGACGGTGCAGGACGGTGAAGGACGGTGCAGGACGGTGCAGGACGGTGAAGGACGGTGCAGGACGGTGCAGGACGGTGCAGCACGGTGCAGGACGGTGAGGGACGATGAAGGACGGTGCAGGACGGTGCAGGACGGTGAAGGACGGTGCAGGACGTTGCAGGACGGTGAAGGACGGTGAAGGACGGTGAAGGACGGTGATGGACGGTGCAGGACGGTGCAGGACGGTGCAGGACGGTGCAGGACGGTGCAGGACGGTGAAGGACGGTGCAGGACGGTGAAGGACGGTGCAGGACGGTGCAGGACGGTGAAGGACGGTGCAGGACGGTGAAGGACGGTGCAGGACGGTGCAGGACGGTGAAGGACGGTGCAGGACGGTGAAGGACGGTGCAGGACGGTGAAGGACGGTGCAGCACGGTGCAGGACGGTGAAGGACGGTGAAGGACGGTGCAGGACGGTGCAGGACGGTAAAGGACGGTGCAGGACGGTGGAGGACGGTCAGGACGGTGCAGGACGTTGAAGGACGGTGCAGGACGGTGAAGGACGGCGCAGGACGGTGCAGGACGGTGAAGGACGGTGCAGGACGGTGAAGGACGGTGCAGGTCAATGCAGGACGATGTAGAACGATGCAGGACAGTGAAGGACGGTGCAGGACGGTGAAGGACGGTGCAGGACGATGCAGGACACGAAAAACCTGTGGCACCGCACCTGCAAGCAGGTTGAAGAAAACATTTTGGGAGCATGCTATTTTCCCCTGGCAACTTATGGATGTCAGTCATGGACTCTTCCTCGGTCAGTGAAGTCAAGAATCGACCTTTTGAAATGATATACTACAGAAATTTGTTTCAGAACATCATGGATCAAGATTAAGGAAAACATTGGCATTCTACATGATCTCAGCATTAATGAGAACTAGTTCGTTAACAGCATCTTGACCTGAAAGATAAGGTATTTTGGCCATGGCTTGTTGAAAACGATAATAAAAGGTCCTGTTTTCGGAGAAGAAGGCAGAGGCAGACCTCCATCAAAGTGGGTACAAGATACTGAAAATGCATTGGCTATCAAAGTACACATGGCTGGAGAACTTGCTACAGAGAGAGAGTGAGAGAGAGAGAGAGAGAGAGAGAGAGAGAGAGAGAGAGAGAGAGAGAGAGAGAGAGAGAGAGAGAGAGATACTTTAAGGCGTGCCGTGACGAGAGCTACCTTCTATAAGAACCTGCCGATTGATTGTATGACATGGTCTATGAGTCCATGTGAAATTAAGTTGAGTTGAGTCAAGAAGTGACATCACAGCACCCGAGGCATTCCCATGCATGCTCCGTCCTCATTCTCGGCAGCCAGCGCACAGTTCCAATACTAATGGTACAGGTCACAATCTGGTTATATGTCCGTCTTGCCTTTCCTCTGAGTGTAGTCAGCCGGCCATATCCTCTGGTTACACTTAGGTGCCTCATTCTCTCCAGGCCGTAATAATCTTGTCTCTCTACTGATTCTGTTGCTTGTTCCTAAAGGGCCTTGACCACATCTGCCTTGTCAGGCATCAATTCACAACCCAGTGGTGCGGATCCAGTCAATCTGTCTGCCTGTTCATTACCCACCACGCCGGCATTGCCTGGAGACAAGATCCAAAGTATGTTCACTACCCTTGACCTTTCCACTGAAGCTTGCCACTTTGCTCGAAGCATCCATGTCTGCACCTTTTTCAGTATGCTTTCAGAGTCTGTTACAATTACGACATGTGTGTGCATCTTGTTCTCTAGCCACCGGAGAGCTGCAGTTACCGACTCCACCTCTATTCTCATGCCAGATGTTGTGGTGTCATATGCCAGGCTGTCCTGCACTAAAGATTTTCCATTGGCTTACACTACGAACTCCCAGGCACTTCTCTTTCCTCTCAGCACTGAACCATCTGTATAGATAATAAGATCACCTGGGCGTGAATTGTCGTGAATCAACTGATGGACTTCCATCTGTGAATCAATCGGCTGTAAGGGTTCTGTAGGGTTTTGTCCACAGTTTTATTCACAGCAAGTTTCAAACAAAAAGGGTTCGTGATAAGCTTAACAGATGTCACTTACTGAGACATACTAATATGATTATGAACTAAGCTCACCTTTGTCTTCTTGTATCTGTTATTGTGTCCAGGACTAGTTACCAGCAACTGCTCACTGCCATGCCCCGTGTGTAATCTCACCTTTGATCTGGCCAAGCATTTGCAGAGACATCTCAAGACACATCGAGAGATTAAACGCTTCCTATGTTCTTTCTGTGGAAAGGGATTCAACGATACGTTTGATCTGAAGCGACACACACGAACTCACACAGGTAAATACAGTTACAATTCCTTGTATCCGGTCATCTTGTGTCATACAGAAAAGCTTGAGTAGCAGTCCTTTGCAATCATAGGATCATCAGTCTCAGAAACGACTGGATTTCTTGTTCTAGTTTTACAATTTGTTCACCTAAAAAAAAAGCATAGTCTAGACTTTGTTTAGTGTGTTCTTCTATCTTTCTACTTCTTTCTATGTGTACCGATTCATACACTGTCTCTTTGTTAATTATATAAACAATTTGTTCAGACTATTGGATGTTATCCGTCTTGCTCTTTTCCATCAGGTTCCCAAGATTTAACTAACTCATCAATTGCATCTATCTTCGTTACATGTTTAAAAACATTTCGATAGGTTATATCTAATTTATGGAATTAACTGCTAACTGCTACTGCTGTTGCTGCAGCTGCTACTACTCCTCCTACTCCTACTCCTCTTCCTTACCCTACTCCTTCTCATCCTCCTTTTCCCCCTCCGTCTCCGTCTACGTCTTCTTCTTTTTCTTCTTCTTTTTCTTCTTCTTCTTCTGCATCTTCTTCTTCTTCTTTTTCTTCCCCACCTCCTCTTTCCCCAGGTACCTTCTTTTCCATCTTCCTTCTTCTTCCTCCATTTAGAGATCTACCAGGTATGTGGTCTTTAGCTCCCCATAATTTTATAGATCATACGGCGCCCCATAAGAAATCTGATGTCCTCAATCCTCTACCACTTTTCATATTGTGTCTATTCTTCACGCACTTCCGTTTCTTTTTTATACAACCCAGTGACCACTGTATTTCGCGTGAAATGCCTTTCGTTTGCTTCCTCGGCGAAACGTGTTGTGATTGTCTGGAGATTGGCAACATGTCGGTCTGCATTTGGACTGACGATGTGTCGTAACTCACCAACGACAAACTATAATTCTGGTAGCGGACAATTAGTTTTGGAACCTCTAGCCGCTGCCTTACACGTTTACTGTGTGTGCATGCTTCGGCGTTTTAACAGGGGCATAGAAATAAAGAGGGCATAAAGAATACACAGAGAAGGAAGCTGGAAAGTGATGTTAAAAAATATTAGGAGGATACAGGGTGAGCTACATGCGATAGCAAGGGATAGAAAGACATTCATTATTTCATAATTCAATACATCCATCCTGGGTTTTCTTTTAACGGCCGACGAAATCCGTCCATCTGACTGACGATCTTAACTAGAGCTTACACGTGGTTAGGGCTTGACTGACGATCTTCACTAGAGCTTACATGTGGGTAGGGCTTGATTGACGATCTTAACTAGGGCTTACATGTGGTTAGGGCTTGATTGAGGATCTTAAGTAGAGCTTACATGTGGTTAGGGCTTGACTGACGATCTTAACTAGGGCTTACATGTGGTTAGGATGATGGAGCTTACATGTGGTTAGGGCTTGATTGACGATCTTAACTAGAGCTTACATGTGGGTAGGGCTTGACTGACGATCTTAACTAGAGCTTACATGTGGGTAGGGCTTGATTGACGATCTTAACTAGAGCTTACATGTGGTTAGGGCTTGACTGATGATCTTAACTAGAGCTTACATGTGGGTAGGGCTTGATTGACGATCTTAACTAGAGCTTACATGTGGGTAGGGCTTGATTGACGATCTTAACTAGGGCTTACATGTGGTTAGGGCTTGATTGACGATCTTAACTAGAGCTTACATGTAGTTAGGGCTTGATTGACGATCGTAACTAGAGCTTACATGTGGTTAGGGCTTGACTGACGATCTTAACTAGAGCTTACATGTGGGTAGGGCTTGATTGACAATCTCAACTAGAGCTTACATGTGGGTAGGGCTTGATTGACGATCTTAACTAGAGCTTACATGTGGTTGGGGCTTGACTGACGATCTTAACTAGAGCTTACATGTGGGTAGGGCTTGATTGACGATCTTAACTAGAGCTTACATGTGGGTAGGGCTTGATTGACGATCTTAACTAGGGCTTACATGTGGTTAGGGCTTGATTGACGATCTTAACTAGAGCTTACATGTGGGTAGGGCTTGATTGACGATCTTAACTAGGGCTTACATGTGGGTAGGGCTTGACTGACGATCTTAACTAGAGCTTACATGTGGGTATGGCTTGATTGACGATCTTAACTAGGGCTTACATGTGGGTAGGGCTTGACTGACGATCTTAACTAGAGCTTACATGTGGGTATGGCTTGATTGACGATCTTAACTAGAGCTTACATGTGGGTAGGGCTTGATTGACGATCTTAACTAGAGCTCACATGTGGGTAGGGCTTGACTGACGATCTTAACTAGGGCTTACATGTGGGTAGGGCTTGATTGACGATCTTAACTAGGGCTCACATGTTGGTAGGGCTAATATCACCAGCCTCCTGTAAAAGTATGATAACGTTTATCTAAGAATTCTGAATTAAAAACCGACATCATAAAACTCGGGACATTTTCATAGACGCTCCTCCCCCGTCCTCAGCAACAAGCACAAAGTTCCAAATCCTATGGTACCAGTAAGAGTCTGATTGTATATCTGTCTCGCCTTTCCTTTCAGTGTTGAGCGTCGGCCAAATCCCCTGCATCATTCCTCGTAGCATCCTTCTCCTTAGACCGCGATGATCTATTTGTGCCTCCGCACTGTTTACTCGCTCCCAACGGATCCTTACAACAGGTAGCTTGTCATGCATCAGTTTACATTCAAGTGGTTCAGAATCAGCTAATCTATCTGCTTGTTCGTTTCCCAACACATTGACATATTCTGGAGCGAATTTACAAAGGTCGCTTAACTATCTGGTACCTTTAAAGAGGTGCTTGCCACACTGCGAGGAATATACATGTTTGGCAAAGCCTTTTTCAGCATCTTACGTAAGTCAGTTACAAGAAGACATGTGTGGGCAGCTGGTTTTTAAGTCAGCAGAAGGTTACAGTGACTGCCTCAACCACCATTCTCAAACTACATGTTAGGTATCACATGCCAGGCTTTTGAGGAGAAGATCGGAGCCCCCTGGATCTGTCTGGAGTCTGTGATAACAATCCTCACAAATCACTAAACGTAGAGGATTGCACTGTGTAACCATTTCACCAGACTCTAAGGCAAAGAGCCGCACTAAAACGATAAAACCAACTCCCAACCGAATATTTACAGTATGAGTTTTGGGCTGAGGCGGGGGTTGGGGGGATGTGGGGGATGGGGGGGGGTGACGCCATATCATTGCCTAAATTACGTTATTCTAAACAGAGAATCATCTATTCAAAGACGCTATTATAGCAGCGTTGCTAGAAGTTGACAAAACACAACCACCATCTTTTACCAAAAAAAACACGGAAGACCATACAGAGGACACTTGTTACTTCTTGAATTGGGCCCTGATGCAGGAAGCACCGAAGCTTTTCTAGTCTACTTGTATAGACTTTAGTGAAGAAGTATAGCTCTGAAGATGTTTCAGGCATTCAAGGGCTCTACGCGCTGAAAATGTCGCACCGGGAACAAGATACAAAGCCAGCGAACCGTGAGCTGAACGCCGATACACCGTTAATGAACAAATATAATACACTTTGAAAAAGGCCGGCAATTATTTACGTCACGATCAACGGCCGCAGTTGAATGTAGGACTACATCATGCATTCAATCATTGAGACTTACACACGGGCGACGTTTTCCCTGCTTTCTGGCGGTGGGAGCAAACCATTAAGTGGTTGTTAAGACTCTAAATATGTCATCGAAAGACCGGGAAGTTTCCTTTCACGGGAATTTGTTAAACCGCTCTACTAAAGCTCAGTGCTTTCAATTTATTTTTCTTTATTTAAAATGTTAAAGCAAGTGAGCGTGTGTGCGTGTTGTTTTAGAAATTAGCCTATGTACAGCCTGGTAGTCGGCTTGTGTGGCTAAGGCGTTGAGAACGAGCCTTGTAAAGCCGGGGTGCCGGGTTCAATCCCAGCTGCGGGCCTTGAGCCTTGCGTTGGTTTCGACAGTAGTATCGAGAAGCTGACCGTAGAGGAAGCAATGGCAAACTACTGGACGTAAATTTGCCTAGAAAAACCACAACAGCTAAAAATGCTGGGGTTAGCTCTGCAACTTCCTGTAAAGGATACGCAACTAACTGGTAAAGGAAGTGGCGCTTAGGTAGAAACTAGACGCTCGTAAAAAGGTCCTCGGTTAGAATTTTTCTTATTATTATTTTTTTTCTTCTTAGCGTTCACCTGTAAAGCCCGGCGGAAAGTTCTGACTGTTCGTCCGCTTCTGGACATTAGTCTTGTTCTAAACCTTAAGTTTTCTGTGCACTTTCCTTTTTTTTGGGGGGGGGGAGAACTGGCTAATTCGTATGCAGACTGTTGGTTTCTCGCCTCTCAGGCAGATGCCCTATCAGTTTCAAGGAAACACCTATAATTAGTCGCCTCTTACTACCTGCTTATTGGTGCAGTGTGTGCGGCCCCCCCCCCCCCTGTTTTTTTTACAATGGGGACCGGAAATCCACACGAGGAGGGTTCAAATTCAAATTAGGTTGCATTTTTTAAATTGAACTTGGCTGTCATATTGACCCAAGTGGGTAGCCGATAATGCCATGGTAAGTGAAAGCGGCTGGCGTGTTGCTGCAGACCAGCAGACTGATAGATTGGTTGCTACCGCCCCTCTGTGTGGTGAGCTACTTTGTGATGAAGCCGGCACGGTGTAGGTATTGTGGGATCAAATGGCAAGTGCAACAGGGCAGAGAATTTATACATTGAAAGACTAATTCAGCGGGGGGGGGGGGGGGGTAGAAAAAAAAAGGGGGGAGGGGGGTTAAGAGGATTTGGCAGATATTTAACACTGTATCTGCACATGCGAACTTTCAATCAGGCTGCAACTGTTACTGGTAGAATGTCGACCCTTCGTTGGTTACTTAGAGAAGGAGACAGAGCACATGTGGGAATGACCCAAGTGCAGTGATGCCAGTTCTTCATTCATCAATTCAATCATTCATTCATTCATTCTCATTCACCAAGTGCCGATTGGTTTATTAAAAATATAAGCTTAGCATCAT